CCATTGTATGCAATAGACTCGTTATTTTCATTCCATACTTTCGGTTTCATTGCCACGAAACAGAGAGAATGCCCTCATTTGATTAGAAAGAGGAAGTTGTTTCCCATTTTCCTAAGGCTTAAAGTGAATTAAATTTGTTCCACTTTTTCCACAGCTTAAAGGCAACTCATTTGTCAAGTTGCTCACGAAACTTGACCTCGCCTCACTCAAGTGGTGCACTTAAACAAGTGGTTTTACGACTACGTCTTGAAATATTTAAAAAACTATTCATAAGACCTTTGAGTTCCTAGTAAAAACACTCATACTTTAGAGCAAGAGGTTGTGGTACATATAGATTAGTTTGTGCTGCAAAATGGTTTATAAACATATTAAGTAGAATGATCAGTCCTTAGTTAAGGCGACTGATTTGGGCAAATGTCGGACGCAGCTTCATTGTTAAACTCAGTGAATGGATGTAGACATGGTTCAATGGACAGTTTTCAAATAATTGCAATTGTGCTGAAATGGCCGATTAGGAAGTTTGATGGTTGGATTGATGACTGTGTAGTTGATGTGTGAATCAGTTAGTGGATGGATGAGTGACCTAGTGGACTAGTGAATTAATCATCTGACAGTTTCGCACGCGATGCCTTGGCGGTTGAAATGCATGACTCGTATGATAAGTGATCTAGCTGAAATGGTAGATGAGTGACCAGTTAGTTGTAGATTGTTGGGTACTGCGTAGTCTTGGCCACCTGAATAGATAGGCGAGTGAGTCACTGCGCCTGATTTTTCGTGCATTTGGTAGACAGGTGTGTGACCGGGCAAATGAATCAACGGAAGGACGGATTGATGGACAGACCTTTGGCCTCGCTAAGGCATTTGGGGTATTTATGGGTGAATGGGTGAAAAAGAAGGCTGGGCAATGAATAGGTGCTGCTTTGGATTTCCGCTTATTGCTTGAATATGTTAAAACGAATGAATAGGGCTAAACTATTTTCCTTGCCCATTTACCACTCTAGGCTCATCAAATTCCCTCCGACATGGTCACTCGTCTGGTGGGCAATCAGGTCACCGTCTCACCCATCGTTACCATCGAGCCAAGGCGTCGCAAATTCCACAAGCCCATCACTCTCACCATTCCTCTGCCTCGTTCGGCTGTTACAACTAAACAACACCACAGTGGTACGGGTGCCGATTCAGCGGCCAACAACAGCCTCCGACTCCTCTGTTCCATCACGGGAGGCACGGCACCTGCTGTGTGGGAGGATATCACGGGTTCCACACCGCTCTCCCGTGTCAAAGACTGTGTTTCGTTCACCACTACTGTCTCCGCTAGGTTGGTTTTTTATCCTTTAATTAATCAGCAAGATCGCCTATCTACACTGTCTTTTTTTGCTAAGTTTTTGAATGGTCTACCACTCTGTTGGTAGAAGGCGCGACTACCAGTGATACTTTTATTGTTCTGCAGGCTGTGGCTAATTGACTGTCCGGTGATCAATGCAGTGGTGGAGGTTGCAATGCGTCTCTACAAGGAGGCCTCAACTGTCCCTTACATGGGCAAGTTTATCGTCTTCGCAAAGCGTCCGGAAGTTGACGAAGCTTTAATGCGTTGCTTCTGCATCACTGATGACAAAGTTGACAAGGTCAGTTCCTTCTCACGCCACATCCGCGTCTCATTTAGCCCTCTAATACACCTATTATTCTTCTTTAGACCCTTGAATGTCAAGAGGGCTTTGACTTGGTCGCAGCTAGCAACGAAATTGAGGTTGTTGACAATCGTCCCACCTGGCTTGAGGCCTCAGGCAACCTCGTACCTGTGGTCAAAGCCGATGACCAGCTGAGACTACATTTTAATGCCTTTCGAGAGAATCGTCTAGCTTTTCCTGTGCGTATCAAGGATCCACAGCTGGAGCCCTGTGGAAAACTCGCTTTTGTTCGTGATCCACGTCCGGGCAGCGCAAATGAAGTTAAACCAATGTTCCAGGTACGCAATAGCTCCATGAATTGCAGACTTATTTATCCATCTATTCGCCATCTTATCGTGTGCTCCACCAAATAGGAACTGGGAGGAACAACCATCACTGAAGCGCTGCCAGTTAGGTCAATTTGTGGACTAGAGGTGGTTCTGCCCTCAGAAATTGGCGGTACGAGATCCGGATCAGTGTTGATTAGTGGCGCTGACGGTGCACACACGATTGCCTCGACGACAGCGGCTACGTCAGTGGTGTCGTTGTCTTGCTCTCAGCCGCAACACTTTGAACATCCCACGCAAAATCTACCAGAGGCGGACTCGCATGGTCGGTGTTTAGTGGTACCACCGCCTGAATGGGCAACCTGTGAGTTGATTAACAGATAAAATTGTACCCCAAAAGCGTCACTTTGCATCACACCTCTCTCCTCTCCCACCATCAGCCATGACTGCAGAGTCCATAGCTCGTACTCAGCTTGATCTTGTGGAAATTGCCACCCAAATCGGTTCGGACTGGCCACGTCTTGTGAAGGCGCTTTTTGCTCGCGACTCTTCCGAGTTGCCACCCTCGGCGGACCAACTAATCGGTTGGATCGCACGGCGTTGCGCCTCCGCGGACACTTTGAGTGCGGCTGGACTTACCTACGAGAGCTTGCGATGTGATCGTGACCGTGCTCTCGCCATCCTCCTCGCCTGGACCATTGAAGCTGGTGATGCTGCTACTGGTGAGTTTGCAGTTCTTATTCCGGTCCTATCATCGCTTTAGGCTAACGTACTGTAGACGATAACTATCTGTTCTCGGTCCAGGCAATGAATTGGACGTTGTGCTACGACAAATTGGACGCGAAGACATAGTGAAGAATTGCATGCGTGATATTCGACCCGTGCTGGAGTTGGATGAACGTGAAAAGGTGAGTCCTTTGTCTTCCCTTGGGTGGAGATTTTATCCCTCAACAGTTCGTTGATTGCACAACCTCTATTGAATGCCAATTCGAGGTTGTGTTTCAGTGACACTTTGTCTTCTTTCAAGGAACAGGAATTTGAAGTTATGACGGTGCGTTGAATAGTTTCACTTTTGGTGTTCACTCTAAACCCACTGAGCTTCTCATCCTTGTTATCCATTTCGTGTCCACCTAGTAGTTGGCCCCTCGTCCATCAACTTCCTTATTCATCTATTTGCTCCACTCCATAACTATCCGTTTTTTAACAATAATAAATGAGGCGTTTTCGATTAACTG